GGCATAATTATTCATACTAAGATACTTAGATAGAAAGGATATGCATATAGAAACCGAGATAAAAAAAAAACAACATTCTGCGACGACAGCAAAATAGGCGAATACTTGTTTGAAACGTTGTGTCGACTCGACGTCATGCCAAGCCCTCGCGTACGTGCTCATTGCATATTCGATTCGTATGTTCATTAAACGCGAACTTGCTTTCAATTTAAATGACACAAATGATTGGCAACGATGTTTGTTTTCTGCCACACAACAATACCAAACAAGCCTCTTCAAAATTGACCGCTAGATATTTGTTTCTCTTTCATTTTTTGTGTTGTCTTTAATTTCCTCGAATTTGAACAAATGCACAATTAACTGAACACTTTTTTTTATTGAAAAATTGATCGACATATCGTACTGCCCTAGCATGGTTAATGATTCGCCAAATTTATTGGCAATTTTGAATAATCTGCAAGTGATACGGTGCGATCGTCACATCGACCATTTTCTGTATAATTGAATGGCGACACTAATATTTAACATGGTCAAATGCATATATGTGTATGGATATGTGCCTCCAATCACGATCCAATATGCCTCCAATGAATCGGTGACGGTCAGCGAGTTCATCAAATGATTAGTTCGACATTCAAATTCAGTACAAACATATCAATTGAGTGAAAAAAAAGAGAGAAAAAAAGTAAACGATTTTCCATACTGTTTGACTCGCGCGATTTGAATGTATTGATTTAAGTGGAAACCGTTTCATTGATCGATTTGTATGTATAGATCATTGTGGGGTGTGTGAATTAATGACGTGGGTGGTTGATTGCTGTTGATTATTTGATGTCAAGCTTAATGAATAACAAGAAAAACACAAACGATACAAATGAGAACACTAGCACACACCAGAAACCACTGAACTCAACAGAAAAAATGATTCTAACCATAAGAAGAAGAAAAATTGAAAAAAGACTCGTCGTCGGACTTCAACTGAATCCATGGCTGTATTATAATATGATATATGTATAAGTTTATTGGCTAAATAAAATGAGTGGAACACTCACAATCTATCACTTGTATATTTTATTTCGACTCATTCATCCAACAAAAAGGACATCTACCATGTATTTTGCGTCACTTTTATAATAACTGTATCTAGTTTTTCGAAAAAAAATTGTTCGATAAATGCACCATTCAATTACAAAGTATATTCAAGTATAATATTCACAATTAAAACTAATCCAGTTTTGAGCAAACACATATATTTTATGTAAAAAAAACTGAATTTACCTCATTGTGTTTCTTGTGTGTGTGAGTACTTGAAAAATCAGGTGAATTTTGAATCGCAATTTGTTTGTTATTGTTTTTTTTATGTCTGTTTTTCTTTGCTTTGTTCCTATTTTTAGTTACACTGTACGCACGTTGTGATGTTATGGCCTATAATTTGTGGCAAATACAAACCGAACACACAAAAATTTCATCAAACGACCGTTCAGAATGAATATCATATGAAATGACGTTCGAAACCGACAATACGCAATAAAAGTGAATAGCAAAAGTGCACGTTCGACTTATCCGTTGACAAGATTTTATCTGACATACGGACCGAAAATGCCGTACTGATTTTCTCAAACATTGTTTGACACTTTTTTGGGTTTTCCATGTTGATTTTCATTGAGAATACGAAATTCGTTCGTCGATTGGGCTTTCGCTTTCATTGTATTTTCAATACGCAATACAATCCAATGCACACATTCACCCGGTTCTTTTGCTTTTTGGATAATGTTATGCTCTCTACTTGTCTCATCCATAATACAAACGTGGTTGCGTTCTTTATACTTATGCATTCACTTATTTTACAGATATCTATATATATAAATAAATAGATGATGGCATACGCAGCACCAATACGCGCCAAATTCTTCCAACATATTTAAACACAACAAACGCACTGAATACACATTGAGTTCGCTCAGCGTTCAACGAAAGGAAAAACAAGTGGATAACGAATGCGATGTATTCAGAGTGAAAGAAGATGTATAATAAAAGGAAAATCTCTCAAACGACCTCCAGGATACTTTTCCAATGAGAAGCAAAAAAAAGAGCAGCTATCAGCTGGAAATGTATTTGGAGCAATCGATAAAGTGGCTGTCTCGGTGGTGGTTTGTTTTATTGTTTTCGTTCACAATCGTTGCGTTTGTGATGGAGATGATATGCTGTGTTTGCATGTGGGTGTGTGATGCCGGTTCCACAATGTCTGAGTCCCATTTGTACTGAACATATCTCTGGCATGCTTTTTTTCATTTTGTGCAGCAATATAACAATCAAACTTGATGAAAAAAGCTTTTTTTCATTATCATCCACCATTATTTCGTTTCACGCATTGATCTCTACATGAGAATTTCTTTTAAGAGAGCACGCAATTCATGTCATGGCTACACATTTTTTATTTAGTTTCATCGTAATAAGATATGACAACGGAACAAAGAGTAATTGAATTGTTAATCCATTCGAAATGAAAAATTCGAAATTCTCACACGGCATTCGTTTGGTTGTTGGTGCCACCAACATTCATACTATTTTATGCCAAACATCCGCCAAAGAAATAAAGACAAAAAACTCTTGATGACTTACTATTTGAGATTATCCAAGATTTTTTGCAATACAATTTCCACATATCGTTTTTATATGACACGATTTTTTTTGTAATAAATTATAACGAATTATAACAACAGTATTTCTCAATACTTGGACAGTAATTTCACTCATTCCAGATGATTTTTTCTTTTCAACCATGACATTTAACAATTTTCTTTACACACACATATTTCACGTTACAAAATCAGACATACTTCGATAATTCAACTTCCGCTCACTCGAATATACCAGTAATATTTGGAATAAAATTAAAAGTCGCATTCTTCAAATCATTCATATGCATTCATTGAGTAGCCGCTATCTGAACGCTATCGATTCATATAGAATCTTATGAGGAAATGCTTAGGTTTGTCATGTTTGTGGACCATTTTCCTGGTCCTTGAACAAAACTTCTAAAGAAACAAGAGAATGGTGTTCAAGCTTGATATTGTTTTTTTTTTGTTGCTGCGAATCACAGCTTTAAAAAAATCATAATGAACTATATTATAATCTAATTCTAGACACTTTTTTTCAAAAATCACATGAAAAATATTATTATTTTTTTTGAAAAAGTTTAAAACTTTCAAAAATCTCTTTCAAAATTCTGGCACAGTCCCGCCACCGTCAAAATTACTCCGCAAATGAATTATATGGGTAGCCTGTAACACAGAGAGTCCCATCATACTTGATTTTAATAAAAAAAATATTTTGAATAAAACTTTGCGATTCAAATAAAAACCGGCATGAGTTCATTCAATGTGATTCATCAAGCGCCGACAATTGATACAATTCCATTCATTAATTAAACAAAAAAATCAATGTTTTTGAGGAAATTCTCGATTAATTTGTCCATGCATTGATTTGACAACGAGCTATATAATATCGCATAAAATTCAATATATAATTTAAAATGACTGTAAACATTTATTTAAATATCAACAACGTTAATAGTTAATTTTCTCATTTAGTTCGTTAAATTAGGCAAGCAGATTCATAAATTAAATGGTAATTGTCAACAATACCCGCATGCTGTACATACATGGATATGCTGTGATAATGAAATTGAAACAGAGTGTGACTGACTGTTCTGAAGTTCACGTTCAATGACTGTTTTTGTTTCTCTCTCTCTTTATCGATAAGCGTTGTCGATTCGTTGTGTGATTACATGAAAAGTCGTCAAGATTATATCATGTGAGACGGTTGTGAGAATACGGCAAGCAATAAAATATAAAAAAGAGCGTTCGCACGTGACATTTGCAGGGATTGGTGTATCTGATGATATGTAAGCAACCACAATTAAGATAAAAAAAGCTTTTAAGATAGATGATATTCCGATGTTAACATTTGACGTATTCATACATCGCAAACATTCTCATGATAAAACGACATATGATTTACAGGCTCGTCGAAATGCGCAATTTTTGGCATTCAAAATATTCGACAGTAGACTTTCTACACCAGAATTTCGTTGAAACCTGAAATTACTCCCGCCACCGGCGATGAATGAATGACCAATCGTTTATAGGGTACATCACTGTTCGATCAATTAAAACAAATCGGCATTTGAATGGAAATTGCTAACTTGTGACAACTTTTTTTTTTCAACAATCAATCGAAGTGAAATATTGCAACTAATTCATCAAGATGTACAAATAATAGATAAACGTGGTGTGTGTGTGTGTGTGTGTTTGTAGTTGCTAATGCCATAACCACAACCACAAATAACCAAACGATTTATCACCACTTGCTAATAATAGACACTACACACGATGAAAGAAAGACTGTTGATTATTGTTATGTACATTTGTTTTGAACTCGAAAGTGAATCAACGATGAGCCCACATCTTGATCAATCGTGGCGAATGTAGTTTTTTTTTTGCGCAAAACCAATCGATCGCAATGCCTTGATAGTGAAAAGTAATTTATTATAATTTATTCGATCTCAATGAAGAGAGTATTTCTTGAGAAAAAAAAAAGCGAATGTAGTTCGCTGAGAAAAAAAGGAGTTGAAACTAGGCGAAAAAAAGTAACAATAAAAAGTTTGCCCCCAGTTCATCCGGATTGACTTTTTTTTTATTATGTAGTTCAATCAAATGGAGAATGTATGTTTGAATGCAAATATTGCGGTCAATAATATCAACGTGCAGAAGAAAAAAATGGAATCAAATACGTGAAAAGTCACTGTGTGTTGAAAATTTACCTTTCGAAACGATGGTTTACTTACCGTTTGAATTTTTTAATTTGTAATTTACGTGTAAAATGATCAATTTCGAAGTCTCACAACAGCGATCTCTTAATTTATTGTTGAATTCATCTCTTTTGTTTCATTTGTTTATTTCATTCAATCAATGATCGATGTAATGCAAAAGCGGTTGTTGTTGATAAAAAAGAAGCAATAATTTATTTTTTTTAATAAATTTGAACTGAAGTAATATTTCCTATATATATATATTTTATTTAATGCATAGTTTTTTGTGGTACCGATGGCTTCACTGAGCCAATCACTGCAGACTTTCGAAATTGTGTAGTCGGACGCAAAATGGTTGTATGCATTGTGTTGCGTTGTTATTGTATTATCGGTGAGTGATAGTTGAAATTCGTCAGTTGCGAGTGTCATTTCAAATCAGCCTTTAGTGTTTTGTTTGTGTGTGTGTGTGTGTGTTTTGTTTTATTTCATTGAATCACATTCTTCAAAATGCATTACGCGTGGAGGATACATCTGTGCTTTTACCGCTTGGCAATTTTAATGCACGATATTGCTTGTACAAGCGATCTTTACAAAATTCATAAAATTCAACTTCGCGAGAGAAATTTCGCCGAACAATATCTTTCACATATTCGCTGACCGGCGGTTTAAATGAATTTCGATTAACGCGAACGCTTTCACTGGCTACACGTTTTTGGATGAAACAAACCGTCATAAACCGAATAAAATACAATTAAAATTATGACAATTAATGACAGTTGCATGATCATTTGTTGTTATTGTTGTAAAATGCATGAAATACAAACCGTGATATACTCGAGTGACGCCTCTAAAAAATCTAGGTACATAATGCTCCAAGACAGCAAATGTCGTGTTCAAATCTTCAAGAACACCAACAACCGCATAATTTTCTTCAACAGCACGTTTTGCCTTGTCCAAAGCTTCCTGGGAATTGAACGGTCTGTTGGTCGCCATGTGAACAATAATGGACGATGAATGATGGTGAAACAAGTATAATAAATAAAATAACAATTAAAATGAAGTAAAAAATGGAATGAAATTGAGTGAGACAAAAAAAAAATCGATTTGGATATTGATACATACGTGCAGTCCGGTTCATGACCACAAAAGAAAAGAGTTTGACGTCGATGATCTCCGATACCTTCACGACGTACACCTTGATTGTACACACATTCGGGATCGCTTTGTAGTACACATGTTTCGAAATCTTTTCTTAGCCAGTTTGGATCGGGCAACGGTAAATCGGGAAATGCCCGCTTTCGTTCAACATAATACCATGGTGCTCGTACATAATAGAACCTATACGAATCGATAAACAACTGTATATTCAATCTATTCGCATATCGCATATATTTACTCAATTCATCAATTTACCAACTGATTACTCTTTCCACCGGGTCTCGTACCAAATTTATGTAAATGGGCGACGGATATCCAAATCTATCAATAAACAAAAGATAAGATCAATACATTAATGGTGAATGGAAAATTTATAGAAAAAAAAACAAAAATATTTCCGATTTGTTTTTTTAAAGCAAGCATTATAATGCATAGATAGGTTGTGTTTAGTCGATAAGTCGAGTGGTGATAAAATGTTTATTTTCAATATGCTATCACATGCACTTTTTAAAGGATTGATTACCAATCAAATCACTTATCACAAATGAATTCTTAAAATGGAAACGTCACCACACAACGATTGGAAAATTTGCCTAAAAAAACCATTCCAAACACATAAAATGCAATTTGACTGATAAACTTGTTTTAAAATAAAATTGTTTTCTTTTTCATTTTTATTCTATAGTAAGCGAACTAAAGATCATGTATTCATCATTGAACACCTGAATGAGAGCGCGCGCGTGTGATAAACAGTGAGATTTTTTTTATGACATTTAAATTCTAGAACATTCAAATTATTATGAATATTGAATATTGAATATTGAGTACTATAAATTGGTGAGTGATTTTCCGTGTGCAATATGCAATATTAATTTATGAAGCGTGTGCGTACGCGCGTTTTTCAATGTATGTGAGTGAGAATAAACGAGTATTTGGATGATGAAATAACTTGAAAATACAGACTATTCTTCATAGCGTATATTTTTTATTATTTTCTTTTTGATTGGCTCTTGCTTTGATTCGTTAAATTGCCATTTCAATAGCAAAATGAATATTTCCATTGTAGTGGAATTGTGTAGTGGAAATGCAGGAATCAGCAGAAACAAAAAAAAATTATAAATTAGAATATAAGCTATATATAAAGTGTGAGGCAACTCAAATTACATGGTTTACGTGGAATGGCCAGTACGGTGAATGTATTTTATTTGATTTTTTTACACGTGTATGTGCAATGCATATATGCAACAATTACTGCATACCATAGCAACCATAATGACAGTGTCATTATCATTTACAATGGCCAAAACTTCAATTAATGAGAGAGCCAACCGTGTGTTTGATTTGCATTTTTGAGTTTTTGATTTCAATCGCCAGATTAAGATTAAGAAATCGTATTCGATCATTGTTTACCTGGTGAAATTTGTGAAACAGACATGCTTAACGAATGCCGAAGGTGGAGGCAAATTTAAAATTGCAGAGGTCAAATCAAACTGTTGCGGCATACTTAAACGAATCATTTCAACGCGTTGCACCGGATCTCGATGAAAATGGAAATCATTAAAGTAAGATAGCTGCTTCATAAGCTCCATAAATGTTTGACTTCCAACTTTTGGTACTCGATTGAAAAATAGGATTTCTTGTAGCGCATTTCGCGTATTATTCATTTCATAGGCACTTGGAACTATTTCCGGAATGTTTGTTGATCGCTGCAAAAGAGAATAAAAGTCATAAATTAAAAATTAAATTCAGACATAAGTCATGCTAATGAAGACAAATCAAAAGACATTAAATCAAACAGAATGCAATAGAAAATAACATCTCCATATTGCATGTGACGTCATTGGTATCATCCTTCTTTTTTTTCGGGGCGATGGTATCATTAACAATCATTAGTTTTGATGATAGCTATTTGTCATCTTGAAATTATGATCACAAGTTGCACATTAAATGTTTCGTACAATAAAGAGCTGTTAAAGCTGCTACTAAAATTCAAGAGAAATCAGTGCAAAATGTAAGTCGTATAAAACGCGGTTAACATGGTTTATACAGCGCGGTTTTCTTTCTTTTTATTCGTTTTGCCTGAGCATTTATTGTTGTGCATCAATAATAATTGACACGATTGAAATTGTACATGCAAACAAGTGCCACGGTGTGATGATATTCACATGAAATTTATATTCGGTATTGAATGTCATTTGTGCATCACAATGGATGCTAAAAATAAACCATTTCTTGACCAAAAGGTTTGTTTTTTTTAGTTTTCTTCTCTTTATTGAATGCTCGATTTGTACGATTATATAGAACGGCATGTGATGCCCGAGAAAGAGGTTTGTATGCCAGTTAAAGCAGTAACAACAGAGAATGTCGGCTTGAAATTTGAGTACACCGCACACAATCCGTACCGTAATCGACGACTCTCGTTCGTCTCGCATAATGTTTTTTTCCTCTTCGCCATAACAAAAAAAAACTTCCACATAATTTATGCGTGAAAATCATACCGAATACACCATAAATACTTGAATGTGATTGTATCGGCGAATTTTTTTGTTTGCATTCAAAATTCTCTTGTTTATATAGTGTTTTTTATGACTATTGAATGAAAATTAAAGATCATTTGAGTGTGAAAAATTTTCAAATTTTATCCATCACAGCGGTACATTTATATTGAATGTACTTTGTACATTAATATTATAAAAATATAATTTCCGATTTGCACGGCAAAAAAGATGACCGGAAAATGAAATATTCTTCGTTTTTATCCACTCAATCTCTTCATTATCGTTAGTTCCAATCATCCCAATGAAAACAATGACAAACCGTTTTTTTTTTTTCAAATTTACATTGAGAGTTCGAATGACGACTTTTTTTCGTCTTCATTCCATATTTGAATTGTGATTTAACCAATTATCTAGATTCTTCAAATAGACCAATTCGGATTTTTTTAATCGAAATTATTTTGTTGATCCGCTAGAATATTTCGATTCAAATAAGTTCGAAACATTTTCTCATGAAATACTTACCGCTTGTGCATAATATGGCTGATATTCAATACTATTGTTATTGTCTTCATCTGAAATTCAATACAATAAAAAACAATTTTTGGTCATTTTAATTTCATACATAACATGGCTTCTATCATCTCTTAGAAAATATGATTCGCTTGCACATCAATCAAAAGAAACCGTTTTTCTAATGGCTCAAGTATTTGCCATTATCTCTTTCTTTTCCCATTTCATGAAAAGACGAAAAGTGTACGGAAACCATTTTTTTCACACACATCTCCCAAATGTGAGTTACAATTGGGAATTTCCATTCATCACATTTCTGTTATTCAATTAATCTTTGACGACAATTGAGAGAAAATTTCAAAATCCAAACAAATATGAAACGCAATCGAAATGTTGGCGGAGAGGCACGTTTTGTTAGAGTAAAAATGCATCGATTTTCATTTCAAAACGTGATTTACATCCAATTGCTCTTATCTATTATGGCCATTGAAGCCATCCATTAAGAAAAAAAATCATTAACTCTGTCGTGCTCTCGTTTTTTGTTTCCACATTTATTTAATCAGTCGAATGTATAAACTGAAATTGTTATTGCCGAACTCATTATACATGCCAATAGTGAATGTTCCATTTTTTACCTATTATGAAAATGAGCAATTTTACCAATGAATGTTATGCTTGTAAATGAATTCAATTAATTTTCCATTTTAAAATCTCAAAATGTCATTGTCACAAATATTGCATCTCCTTGAAAATCAATCAATACATCGCCGTGATGTACTCTTTATTGTTTATTATTTGTTTAACATTGTCGGCTATGATATGTAATAAATTTGAAGAAATAAGCTGTTATCGATTGATTGATTGATTGAAAATGAGCTACCATTACAAGTGCACAAGTTGAAGATGATTTTTTTAAAAGATAAAAAACAAGAAAATATTCGAAAAAAATTGTGTTGACTCATTTTATTGACTTTGAATTTTGAAAGTCTAGACAATCTATCGAATAATAAAGAGAAAGAACATGAATTTTATTTGAATTGAAACAACGCCAACGTTCGTTTAATATTTCTATTGCATAAGGTGCTATTAATTCCAAAAGCATTTGAGTAAATTAAATCACACCGGCGAAAAAAAAAGTGAATTCGAACAAAAAAAAGTTAAAAGTCATCAGCATTATTAAGTGATTTGTTGATGGCTCAATTACAGCTCAATGGATTTTCGCGCAAATGATTGTTGCAATTTCAATTGAACGTCAAGAGTAAATACTCTCTCAAATTGTTCGTTTGAAAATATGAAATTTCGAAATAGTCTCACGTATTTGCAATGAAACGTTTCACCACATATGGGATGTATTAGCATGCTCATTGATCTAAAATTGAATAGCATCTTTTCTATAAAAAAAAAACGCTCTTTGAACAAATCGGATCAAAAGCCTTCTAAAATGTAAACTGTAAACACTTCATTTGCTTGTGAAGAAAGCATGCGCGCTGCTTTTTTGTGGTGTGCCCAATTTGGTAAATGTGTTGTAGAAATTGGCCGTAAAAATTATACTGTAATGGATTTGAAGCGCCTATTGAACAGAAATTTGTTTGCTCGTTTCGCTAAATTGGTTTCTCGTTACATTTTCGTATGGCAAAGAAAAAAACGGGTTCCAAATATTAAAAACAGAGTCAAATGTTTTACCTGTGTTTTGATTGTTGTCAACCAAATTTATTGTTGAGCTGAGACTTTGGTCTGTGGTTGACTTTGTTATCCTATCTTCGGGTCGATAAAACAATAGTAATGTACACACTAGGCCTATCAAAATCCAAAAGAATAGTGACGATCTGTTGATGCAAAATAAAATGTCGATCAAACCTTTGAATGGTTTTTGTTCGTCGAAAAGTATGTTGATCGCATTTAGAAAGGGAATTTATCAATAGGTCAACAAAAGCATTTCCTTTTAGTTTTGCGTCGATGTGAATTGTATTCATTGTCACCAAAAAACGATCACACGGTCAATTCCACACTCACTTACCTTTTTATCATATACATTCTCCTATATTTAGTTAAAAATTCCATTATTCTTTCGTTTCTATGCTAAATCGCTCTTTATCACAATAAACACTAAAGCCGAATGTACAAATAATACATGATTTTTCTATAATACTGTACACATAAACCTTTTCTAACCCACACTTTTCACTTCTTCACTTCGAAAAACGGAATTCGTCTTTTTATTTGTCGTTTGTTTTTGTTTGTTGTGAATTTTGATGTGCGCCAAGTGTTAATGCGCTGATTTGAACTGAAAGTCGTGCAGATTTTGATGAAACAATCGATTTGGTGGTCAAGAAACGACTGAAATTTTTTGGTATATTTTCTGGTTATAGTTGACGATTACTCTTTTTTCGACCGTTTCGTTGTTTTGTCTGCTTCAATCCAAATACCATTTCAAATTTTTTTATATTGTACGTGGTCAGTGGTTGGGATCCGTAACATACACAATTCCATCGTTGACGAAACACACACACACATACGAGCGCGCGATTCCGTGAGCGTAAAAGTCAGAAAGAGAAAAAGGTGAGAACCACTTCTTAATATTGTTCCGTATTAATGTGTTTACACACTCACTCTTCGATTGTTTATTTGCATTTCAGACTTTTACTCTTCTTATTTTCTTCGGCTTCTTTTTTACTCTGCACACGAAAAGTATCTGTTGGGATTGTTCGCATTTAGGTATTGAATTGTAACTGAGACGCATTAATAAAGCGTCTTCAGATTGTTCACCGTGCTAAATGCCACTACTGCTGTTTTCAGCCGGCAAACGATCTGCTTTTTTTCTTTTCTTTTTCTTTCTTTTTGGAGAAAATAAAAACCGCACATAAAAAAGCGACGCTTTGGTGTGTGAGTGTGTGTATGCGCGTGCGTGCGCGTTTTACGTTTGTTTATTTCTTAGTAACACAAATGCAAAATAGATGAACTTTTTAAACGGCCAATGGACTCATGACTCAATATTGTTTTGGCTTGCACATACGACAAAAGTATTTCGATTAGCATAGTCACACGTACTAACCGCGTTGAAATTACCTTCTCATTGTGGTGAAATACTGACATGTAAACCAAGAGAAAAAAAATGAACCGATTCAGCACATTTAACAAAAATAACAAATAATAAAAATGATTCGAGGTTGATGTGCAGCACACACCATATCAGCGAAAACAACTGGTGCATTATTATTTTGAAAATTTTCATACGAAATTATGCTAAAAGTCATCGAAATTTTTCGTGCAAACTCATCAAATTAAATTACCAAATGTTACACCACATCGCATTGCTTACTGACGCGTTTATTATATTTTGTTTGTTGTTTTTTTTATTCTGATTTACGGCATTTTACACACATTCCGTATGAAATTTACTACAAAAGAAATTGTTTCGGTTTGCCACATTTTTTGTTTTCTCGCTCTCTTCACTATTCGGTTTGATTACGTTTTTGATGGGTTCCTCAATTTCAGCGGTCAACGTATTTGTCATTTCACCGAAACGACAGAGCAAAAAAAAAAATGATATTCAAAAATATCATTGTCACTAATTTAGATGCAGTTTTGCTTGAGATATTTTCAATCGTCTTTATTATGGAACCGATTGAACAATGGCTGAAGTGGGCACATGGCGGACATTAACAATTCAAAAGATTTCTTTTTCCTTTCGCTGCCAATTTCTCTTGATGTTTAACCACCAAAAATAGACTATAATATTCGGTTACAAACCAAAATGGTTTGGCATACATTCACTCTCGTCGCGTCGCACACGCTCTCGATATACTGGCGAATTGCGATCACATGCGCATATATTGGTTTTTGCACATCGTATCCAATCATCGAAAACATTCAATGGATTATTTTATGCCTTAATCCGATAGAGATCACGTCATGCCAACCGAAAACTGCAATTTTCGACGCTGTAATAGCCCAGCGAATTAATGATCCAGGTAAAGTGAAGAAGAAATGTGAAATTTACAGAATGAGATGGTTTGTTGCGATGCTGTAAATACGATCACAGATTGATTGGGTCGCAAAATCAGACCTTTAACTACCGGGCCCGATGCATGTGTGTGTTTCTTCACTTTTGCGTGCATTTCCCTTTTTTACGTCATTAGCGCGTATCAGTTTTTGTTTATTTCTGCGTTTTATCAATCATTAACATTATATTTCTTGTTACCGGCATGCACCGAAAATGTTTCGATTCCTTTACAAATATTGTTCAGATTTTATGAGCAAGTAGCGCTTGCAAATAAAACCGATTCCAATTGACCGTAAAATTATCTTGTTTCTTTCCAAATGGCATAAAGCGTTTCTTCTCTCTTTTGAAATCACATTTTCATAGACGTTTTCAGTGCGATGAATATATGAATATATGATTATAATCATAATATATGCATAATACAAAATATAGCAAGTTCAATGCATGCTTTACATCATATTAATAATGATTAAGAGGCGTAATAGTCCTTTTTTTCTGCACGTGCAATACGTAAAAAATCTTTTCGAGTTTAGTGAATGTGTTTTGGCAATTTCGTTACGAAATTTATGTATAAAAGTTTGTAATTGAATTTACAAATTTAAAAATGTGATGAATTTCGAAAAATACAAAAATTTGATTTGGTTAGATTTGTGTGTGTGTGTGTGTGTGTTGTTGTTCACTTTTCAACTTTCAATAAAACTTATAAAAACCTTAGTAAAGTATTGCGCGCAATAATTGACATATATACAGGGTGCGCCATAATAACTGTCCCTTTTTTTCAATCGTTTGTTTTAATACTCAAATGTCTTGCGATACACTCTGTCGTTTACCGTCTTGCAATAAGAATGGATGTGAAACGTCAACTGGTACTAAATTTGCACAAACGGGGCTTGAGACAAATTGATATTCTTCAACAGCTACAAAATGAAAATATCAACTTGAAATTTGTAAAGCGCACAATAAAACGATACAAAGAACGGAGCAGCGTTGATATATTAAAGAAAACTGGACGAAAAAGATCTGTTCGTGCCAAAAATCTCATCAAACGTGTGAGAGAGAAAATTCGCCGAGAACCTCGAAGAAGTGGACGAAAGTTGGCTCATGAGCACAAAATCAGTAAAACTTCAATGCGACGAGTTTTGGCAGAAGACCTGAATATGAATCCATTCAAAAAATGTCGACGACATGGTCTCACAATCAAAAATAAACAAGCCAGAAAGCAAACATGCAAAGAGTTGTTGCGCTGGCACGCAAACTCGAACATTGTTTTTTCAGATGAAAAGTTGTTCCTTTTACAGCCAAGCCTCAATTCGCAAAATGATCGTGTGTACGCAACATCAATCCTTGATATTCCCGAAGATAGAAAAAACCATCGAACGATTTCAAAATGTTCCACAATTGATGGTTTGGGCCGGCATGTCGGCCGACCACAAATGTCCACTGGTTTTCGTCGAAGAAGGCGTAAAAATCAATAACAGAGTATATATTAGAGAAATTTTGCGTGAAAACTTATTGCAACAGTCTCAAAGACTATTCAGAGGTGAACCATGGGTATTTCAACAAGATGGTGCACCCGCACATCGAGCAAATACGACACAACAATGGCCACGCACGAATTTTCCTGATTTCATTGACAGAGACTCATGGCCGCCATCGTCTCCTGACTTGAACCCGCTCGATTTTTTCGCTTGGGGATACATGTCGTCGAAGCTCAATGATCTGAAAATTACGAAACGAACCACTTTGGATGCATTCAAAAAGAAAATAATAAAAATTTGGAACGAAATTCCCATGGATATGGTGCGTGCCGCGTGTCAATCGTTTTCGAAACGTTTGCGTTTGGTAATCCGAGGAAAGTTGGAAAGAATTAAAGTCAAAGGCTGAATCATAATCTCTATACCTCATTCTTATATCGAATAAAATTATATCTCGATTTGATTCAAATTTCTGTATTTTTTGGCTAGAAATAAAAGGGACAGTTATTATGGCGCACCCTGTAGTTTGCTACAGTTTTTACAAACCCGTTTTTTCAAACTACTGACAGTTCGAATGTCAATGTTCTGTGAGAGTAGAAAAAAATAGCACAATTATCAAAACAACAACGAAGATATTACGGTGTGAAAATATGTTAACGTTTTATTTACTGTAAAAATCAATCTATCATTTCTAATTTTACGATTAAAGTAGGTGCTTATGAAATTATTGTAGGTCAAAAAATGTCATTTTGGACAAAAATTAAGTAACGCATGTTGCTGCAACAAAAATATGGGATGTTTGATTTTATCTCAAAGAAAACAATTTTTTCGGTTCATTCAAGTGTAATTGCTTGATTCATAGTTGATGGACAGTTAAATGTCTTATCGATAAAAATTTCATTGAATTTTTTGTATTTTGGCCGGGCTTGGTTCGGTGTTATCTTCATCATGGTTGGAAGCTAGAACAACAGACACATTCTCTTTGATTTGTTTAAGGTATGCTAGATACTCGTCACTCGACTGTCTACCAATATTTCGCTTTGCCATTAATTCCTTTTGATTAGTAATTTCACTATCAGCGGAGTCGAAGACTTTTGGAAAATTCCACAATTTGATGAATTCAACAATCTGGGTGCGATATTTCATGTTGTCTTTCATATATTTTTCCATTCTCTTTGTCCCTCTATGGAGTGCGCCAAGCTATATAAAAAATTAATGAATTAATGATTTTAGGTGGAATAATTTTTTAATAGGAAAGATTTTTTTTTTAATGAATTCGATTTTTTTTATTTTATCGGAAGTAAAAAAAAGTCAGTAAAAATAAGTTCAAAAATACCTGGAAGTCGATAATACTAAGATTTCCTTCGCCATCAATGCCATAATTCTCCGAATGAAGATCCGTTAGGATAAGAATATTACTGAGCAATTCACACTTTAATTTTTCTCTGTCGTTCATTTTTTGGATATCAGATCTTTGACGAAATCCTTTAACTAAAATATAAATGTATAGACGATTTTTCTTTGCGTTAAGTAATTTTAATTATTTAAAAACAGAGAACTAAAAAATGAAAATAAAGATAGTTTCAAATCTTACCATCTTCCGTGGCAATGTAGAGTCCAAATCTGGATTTTTGGATGTTCGGTAGGAAGTGCACTGTTGGGCCAACTTTTATCAGATCTAGCAGCTTGTACACAAAAATTTCTCCAAGATCGACATTTTGATGATGTTTTGCCGACCGCGAAATTCCCAAATGTATTTTGATATGATATTTTCCAACCGTGTTGCCCTTTTTCGTTACCTCACAAATCAGGCCGCCCTATAAACGTTTAATTAATAAGATGTGCAATAAAGGTTCAAAGCTAGAAATGCACTTATTTGCTATTATTTATTTAGATTTACTTGAGCTTTTACCACTTTTCTCCTTTGGGAAACAATTTACAAAGACGTCGGGATTCTGTGGATTGTTTTCGAATACGGGAGGAAAAAAATGTTTTGCGGCTGACGATGAATTCATAGTCGGAGCGCAGACCGGTATAAAGCACTCAAACAATGAAAAAAGTCCAGACCGTGATTTAGATGATATGGAATGCGATTTTTTTCATTCTGATTTCACCAGGTGATACAGAAAATTGAGTAGTATTTGAGAATCGAAGAAAAAAAAATTAATTATTTTTTTCATTTTTCGCGATTTTTTATACCATCTTTATTGGAAGCTTGTATGAAAAACACGGAAGACCGCTGAAATGACACTGTCGTAGGTCCGTATATATTTGGCGTTTGCCATTTCAGCGGTCTTCCGTGTTTTTCATACAAGCCGCCCATGTAAATGGTGAAAAGTTCGCGAAAAATGAAAATAATAATTAATTTTTTTTTCTTCGATTCTCAAATACTACTCAACTTTCTGTATCACCTGATGAAATCAGAATGAAAAAAATTGCGTTCCATATCATCAAAATCGCGATTGGCATTCGGTCACCATTCAATGGGTATCACACACATAGCAAGTTTATATGAAACTCTCGGAGACTCGGTATAGAGCTCTCCAAAAGTGAAAAACCTCCAGATCGTGATTTGGATGATAAGGAATGCGATTTTTTTCATTCTGATTTCACCAGATGATACAGAAAGCTGAGTAGTATTTGAGAATTTAAGAAAAAAAATTTAATTATTTTTTTCATTTTTCGCCATTTTTTACCATTTACATGGGAGGCTTGTATGAAACACTGGGAAGACCGCTGGAATGACACTGTCGTATCACATGCGTATAAAAAAATCAATTTTTTCGGCGTAAAAACAAGATCCCGATTGTTGCGAGGAAAAAAAACTATAGACAAAATTGAGAGCAAAAACATGACATATCCAGCCTGCGGGCAAAAACAAGTAATCGATATATTGTGTTTTTGCCCTCAGTTTTTTATAAACTCTTTTTGTTCTAAAATTTGAAAGTTCTCTATATACGCTGAAGAATTTGCATCATGTTTTTACGCTCAAGTTCTTCCATTTCGGTTTTACTATTAGGCTGTCAATTGAAGTTTTGCAGATTTTTTCCACCAACGCCTGTAATCATTTCTATCTTCTTCAAGATTAATGAAAATTCCTATTGGATCTAAATCAATGTCGTCGAGTTGTAAGTGCTCTGTCAATCAAAAACAAATTTGATGATAAACTGTTTCGGTTGCGAATTTTTCATAAATTATCCGATAAAAGTTCGTATTATATAGAAATCAGTTTAAAGTTATAGCTAATGTAGTTGTTCATTCTGAATCAAACATTAAGAAAAACATCAAACAACATTGTTTCATTTGTTTGATTTTGAAAATTGTGGTAACGCTGAGCATGAAGAACTTCCATAATCGTTTTTTTTCGTGAGCAGTGATAATTATCATTTAATTATAAATTTACAAATTAATAATGTTTCAATGCCGAACTGAAACCATGTAAACAAAAGTTGAAATTTTAAATGTCACCAGTTAACTGTCATTGGTAGCGGCTAGTGAAGTGAACTTGGTTGTGTTTCGAACGTATCATTGGCGCAATAACATCCAAATGAAATTTGTTTGCATTAAATTATTATTGGAAATATATTGAAATATGTCTGGTTTTTTAAATGGCATCATTCGAATATTCATGACCTTTGAAATGACATGTTTTCGTTTAAATGGTATGATAAAACGGACGAAAGAACACACACGCACTTACACACATGTACACTGATACACGAATAGACAGTCCGCTTTATTGTCGCGCCTTTGCTGCAGTCAAGTGACAGCTGTCAAAGGCGAACGTATTTTTTTTGTCCAAATGAAATTCGACAGAACAATAAAAGAAAAGGATAAAATAGATTAATAATCAAAAAGATTGCATATGATCGCTAGTACTGTTTAACCAAAGAAAAATGCTTGCAAATGCAAAGAAACTACAAAAATAATGTGTATAATATCAATAAATCGCATTAATCGAATCTAATAACCGTTCATTCTAACTAGAAATTAGCAGGTAAGTTATCGTGTATGTGCTTTGAATGTTTGCTACTTAGGTTTTAGTAAACTATTGATTATGCATGTGCGTGTTTGTTGTACGATTTCTGTGTCACTCGACCAATTTATTTGGTGTATCTGATAAGAGTGATAATGTGTTTGCTAAAAATCATGCTTGTTTGATGAATTCCGTTTGAATCAGTATAAGCACATTTTCAAATAAAACATGAATCATATCTGTTGTTTTTCGTTCGATTGATATTTTTTGTAGCGCCAACCATTTAACGTGAATTTGGAATTTAAACACAACCAAAAAAATGTATCAAAGTGCTTGTACGGCAGCTGGTTGCACACAACCCGAGCGAGATCGCGAAGGTTTAATCATAAACGAGCCTGTTGTACCACCAGTCGATGATTACAGTGGTTTCGATATTGTGAAGGCAACGCAATACGGTGCAATCGGACGAGTCAAAGAATTGCTCGATGCTGGATGGGATGTTAATCAGCCGGATAGTGAAACCGTTTCACTGCTTCATTGGGCATCCATCAATAATCGCAAAGAAATTATCAAATTATTTTTGGAACGTGGTGCCATTGTTGATTCGATTGGTGGTGAATTGCATGCGACGCCATTACATTGGGCCACACGACAAGGGCATTTAAATGCCGTGGTTTTATTGATGTCAGCCGGTGCTGATCCGAGTTTACGAGACGCCGAAGGATGCTCATGCATACATTTAGCAGCTCAATTTGGTCACACTGCATTAGTTGCGTATTTTATTGCACGAGGTGTGAATCCAGATTTACAAGATCGTGGCGGCATGACAGCACTTATGTGGGCCGCTTGGAAGGTTTGTGCACTCGATCCAGTTCGTTTGCTTCTTACACTCGGTGCTAATCCAACATTAGTCGATGCATCACATGGAAATACCGCATTACATTGGGCCATCTTAGCACGGAATACCACAGCAATAAGCACACTAATATTAAAAGTAAGCCAATTCCAATGTGACAATGCGAATTTTTTCATTATCGTAATATTTCTTCATAATATAGGGAAAAGCTAGCTTAGAAACTGCAAATTTACGTGGTGATACACCGCTCAAAATGCTACAAATAAATGCCGGATCGATTTGGATCGGTTCAAAAGTGATGGAACGCATCCGAGAGGACAGTCAGTCAAGTCAAAGACAAAGTTTTATTGTCAAGTTAACATTAGATAAAGTAAGTGTGTTGAGAATTATGTCGAATTTTCTGTCCATATATCGATTAAATGAATTAAAATGTTTGATTGTTTTTTTAAATTTGATAGCGGGTCCGATGGTACACAATGATTGCAACGCCATTTCTAACATTTTATATAGCTGGTCTAATATTTAGTGCGGACACATTGTATATAATCAAATTTTTCTTGTTGGGCTGTCTATATGGGGCCGCTCACAGTATAGGCAAAACAATGTTTGATGATAATTTGATGTCACTATTGCCGCTTAGTGTTTATATGGCAACGAAACTATGGTTTTATGTGACATGGATTATTCATATTGCGCCCACCGTTTCACAGCTAACCACCATTTTATTCCTATTATCCAGCGGTGCATTATGGTATTGTTTCTTAAAAGCATGGCGTGGTGATCCGGGTGTTATAAAACCAACACAAGAGCAAAGATTCCGGGTAACCATCACGCTATTTTTTAATTATAATCATTGATGCACAAAATTGGATAAGATGTTATAATCAACCAATTTCTTTCGAATGCATAGACAATAATCGAATTATCAGAACGCGGTGGAAGTGGATTTGAATCAGCGTTATTCTGTTCGGGATGCTTGGTGAGACGACCAGTTCGTTCGAAGCATTGTTCAGTATGTGATCGTTGTGTGGCCCGTTTCGACCATCATTGTCCCTGGATTGGAAATTGCATTGGTAATAAAAAGAGCTTCGTCGCCTGAAATGAATCAGTTGTCATTTGGAATTACATTTTCTGTTACAGGCGCAAATAATCACAAATACTTCATGGGATTTCTGTATGCTTTGCTCATGATGTGCAGTTGGATGATTTATGGTGGAGCCAATTTCTATATGAACGCCTGTAATATCACAATGGAAGAAGGTGAGCTTGATTGTACTTGATGTAAATGTACGAAATCAATTTAAAAAAATGTCTTCCATGCAAAGGTCCTATTAATTCAATCATTGCCATTGGTCAATGTAATCCATGGATTGGATGGGTGATGTGCAATGCATTGTTGCATATTGGCTGGGTGGCATTGCTAACAATATGCCAAACATATCAGATTGTTTGGTTGGGCATGACAACAAATGAACGAATGAATAGAGGACGTTACCGTCATTTTCAAGCAGCCGGAGGCAAGAGTCCATTCAATCGTGGTCCCTTCAAAAATCTGGCCGATTTCTTCGAATGCAGTTGCTTTGGCCTTGTGCAACCAGTGAAAACCGGTATTTTTCAATTATTTTCTTATAAAGACCAGTGCAAAATTTTGTATGAAATCTATAATGCTTACATTATAAATTCGGCACAGGTCTTTGATTCAATATTTCTTCGACTGAGACTAATCGTTGTCTTTTTTTTATTCAATTTTCGATTGCAGATTGGATGACTTATTTTGAATTAGAAAAAAGTATTGAACACGAACCATTACTTAGAGCTACCGATAATTATCAGTATGTCTAATGCTAAACAAATTCATGCCCGGTAGTTTTTCGTGCCTGACTGGAGGTTTAGACCATTTTTTTTGTTTGTTTTGTATTTGTATTTTTTCATCATATTATGCAAATTGTTTAAATTCCAGTTTTAGTTATTGTAAGTGTGTCTCTTCATTTTGTATAAATTGTCCGATATTGATTAACGAAAGAAAACAAAATAATAATCCCAAATACGTTTTTTCTCAGCAAAAAACATTTAGACATACTGTGTGATCTATCACTGACGCTTTGTTCTTCAATAAGTTAAATTATTATCGACGCGGCAAGCATTTATTAAATTGAATTCCACTTAAAAACAACAAGCAAAAAAACACATATTAGAATTTAATGAAATTTCAGAAAATGTACAAAGGGATTACGTGGCATACACATATCCATACGAATAACACCGATTATAATTAAAAAGAAAAACAAAACAGATTGAAAATAAAAATAGAAAAATAAAAAACAACACAACATCGAGAAAATGACACTGTTGCATTCACAAAAAACTAGTTCATTGCTTTAAAAATCTTGATAGATATACTCGTTTATCGTGACCAAATGTCGTAATTTTCCATTTAAAATTCACAGTTCTAAATTCAAATCAAAATAATTAGTCTGTAGTTGACATATGTAGTTACGTGATAAATTTCAAAAAAAAAAGAAAGAGAAAAATGAAATCGAACAACTACACCAAATAATATTCTAAATGGAATACGATGAGACACATTGTTCGATCATCATGCATCAAGCATAATATCAGCGTTGTAACATCATAATATATAACATTTATTTCGTTTACTCGATATTCTTCTGATGCATTTGTCAAAGTTAAGTTACCCGCACAGAATCGAAAGATGAAAAAACGAGGAAAGAAAAAATAAAAAAAATCAACAATTAAAACATACACGGCATATCCAAAATGCCTTAGTATATTTTTCATGTGCTTTATTTGCTTGATGTTCAGCTCGACCTATCTTAATAAGACTTTCATTGAATTTCGTCTCAATCATTAAAACACTTTTTTTTTCGTTCAGCCAAATAGAAATAGCCATATAGAATGAACGAATATTTGAAACAAAAAGAAAAAACAAACTGAACCATGTAAATGTCATACAGATGCGGAAAATATTTTCGAATTAGCTATGTATTTTTGAAAACTTTTTTTTAGCTATTCATTTTCGAAGAAAAAATAAACAGAACATACAAGATTTTTCATACAATCAAAAGAAAAAGCCATCGAACAAAATAAAAAAAAAACCAATGAGAAAAATACCAACCAAAGATCTCACGAAATTCAAATAATTCAACGCAATTTTACTGTATTGTGTGTATATTGTATAATTTACTTAAAAACAAACATAATTAAACAACATTTGTTTAGTATTATTATTCCATAAGCAATGAATTTTATTCGAAATCAAAATGTTCCAATAATTATATCATCAACTAACTGAATTACCGGTAAATTACATTTAGTACAAGTTCTTTGATGATTTTTTTTTAATTTCTTATTTCGTTCATATTATTTCTTTTTTTTTACTTTTTTTCGATTTGCATAGCAGATAGTAAATAACGGACTGTACTCGAAAAAAATAGATTTGAATTTTCAATAAAAAAAAAAACAATGCATTTTGAAAAGAAATGGTAAGTAAAAAATATTGCGTTCCAAAAAATGATTGAAATTCCTTTCTGAATCTATTTGGGTTTGTTACAAAACCATTTCAAAAGATTCCTTTGCGGCCATAATTTTAAATGAAAAAAAAAATGAACTTCATTGTACCACCCAACGTAGTGGAGACGCCAACATGAAATAAAAACTCGTTGCGTTTCATTCATGAACATAATTTCATTTACTATAATGTAATTTGAAATAAGCGGCTGGAGATGTGCAAGATATAAAAACCCTCTCATTAACTAATTATTATTTAATTTTATTTTGAATTTAAAAAATCATCGCCATTATCAATTTCTCATAATCTTCCAAGGAAATCTGAATTTTGCAAACAAAAAAAAATCATATACATTAAATCGGAATTGTATTACTATGTACATGTGGTGATTGTGGATTTTGATTCAATAACATGAATGAATCACGAAATACAGTCGACGTTCTCAAATATAGACAATAAATGAAAAGAAAATCGTTAATTTTACGCATGATAGAAACGACGTAACTACTATCAAAATCTACTACCACAACTTTGATTTGCTGATTTTTTATCGAAGCGACGAAAGAAGTGAATCGAATTATAATTCATAAGCATTAAACTGATAGTAGAGAAGTAAAAATATTGTCCAGACAAATCATTTCTTCTACTTGTCATCATCAAAATTAAATAATGTAACAATTCATAAAATAAACGATTTTTTTTTGCTTCTATTACATCATTTGCACATACAAATACAATGCAACGTAAATCAGAATGTTCATTCTAATTTACAGAGATTCGGTTACAGGGTACAGGGTAGAAATCTGTTCAAAATAATCGAATATGTCACGAAAAGTTCAGTGTTTGCGTAAAAATTTCGTCGTTTCATAATAAATGGATGTTTGTATGCACCCTGCAAAATTCATGTATAGATTATAGATTATTACACCAGCTGCGCACTAGTGTATGCGATTGCATGCACTTGTAGTTGTAGTTCGCTCTCTCTCTCTTTCTCTCGTTCGCTCTCTTTCGTTCAAATCGAAAGCCATTATGCGAGTGAATGAATCGAATCGAGAATACTGTAACGAGAAGGACAAAATAGCAAAATGCTTCTATGCAGAAAGAAAGAAATGAAGAAAGACTACCATGACGGCTGCATGAAATACATGCGTGTGAGTGTGTCTGTGTGTTGCCTGTAAATATCAATGGTTGAGCATGTATTTATTTGTTTGTGCGTACCTAACATGCACACATTCAAATCGACAAATACCCACACACTTTCTCTACGATGTAGTAGAATCTTACACTTTTTTTCTCTCTTTTTTTTTTTGCTTATTTCGTTTACTTCAATTGCACTCTATACCTATTTCGTTCGCACTCATTGATGTATCCATTCATGGTATCTTTTCGCGCTGTAAAATATTCGAGACGAAACGCCTGAACATTGTCATTGCTTACTGAGTGTGAACAGTTTTTTAGATGGCGATCATTGGTACTGTCAATTCTAGTTTGTCTTCGCTGAGTTATAACTAGATAGCTTAACTGCTATAACTTGCTACCGCTGCTGTGCTGTGCTGTGTATATATCTCTAGTTTCTTTATAAATTGGTGTGTGATAGTACGCGCGATTCAAACAGAAAAGGCCAAAAGCATTTTAAAAAAAGAGTATCGTATATTTACTAGATTCAATCAATGTAAGCAAATTTGTTTGAAAATCTATACGAAAAAATATATTAATATATATTTACGTTTTGTTCTGTTTGGTAATATACATTTTTGTAAGAAAAGAGAGAGGAAAAGTGGGAAAAAAAGAAGAAAACGTCGACGACATTTGGTTTTTGTTTCCTTCCATTCGATTTCAAATAAATGACGTCCCATGTATGTGAGAGTGTGTCATTAAATGTGTATGTAAGTCAATGCAATCGAAAATAATTTCATTTTCTTTTGGAATATCCACCTGAATCGATTGCAAAACACGTAAATTATTTTTTTTATTATTGTTGTTGTTGGTTTTTTTTAAAATTAGAATACATACATACATGCAACGAACTGAAATTCTTCGACTATAATAAATGAGCCAAGTTGTCAAGATCGGACAAATCTTGGGGGAAATTTTAAAGGCAAAAGACACATGCAAAATCATTTCCTTTACGTTATATATTGATGGTGTTTTTTTATTGTATAAATTGTGTGACTGTGTTGGTGCGCGCGACAATATTCATTAATCGAAACAAGTTGAAGAAGTAGAAAAAAAATATGTGTGTATATATACATAATAACAAAAATTCAAAATATATACACATATGCGTCAATGAAAATGAACAAGTATATCGTTCATTCTTATGCCTCTTGATAATCAAAAAAAAAAAAAAAAAAAAACAACCGAGATTTTTGTTTCGTTTCATTTGATTTGAACGGTGCCGTTGAATTGTGTGTGCCAAGCACTGGCAAATCGTCTTCTCGTAACTTTAGAATTGAACGGTATCAGTACAATGAAGCAATTACTAGTGATTGAATAAGTGCTGCTAATCAATGAACAGCATTACAACAAACAATTGCTGCACAACAAATTATTTTCAAATTCTGCAACAAACAACAAATGTCACCAATGAAACAACGACAACAACAACAACAACAAAATCGTCCGTCGATGATGACATCAATGGTATTTTACTTTTGAAACAGAAAAACGCCCCGAAAAAAATCCATGAACGAGAGCAAAAGACAAAAAAATAAAGCTACTTTAATTACCTTTGAAAAATAGTGGGTGTAGTACGTCATGTACTATATGTAATGTAGACATGTTTATCGCCAATTCGATTGTTTATTCGGCTTGATAATTTTATTGTTAAAAAACCCCTACACATAGAATCGAATTCATTCATTGTAAATAAAATACAACAAAATATAGATATATATATATGTGTGTTTTGCCAAATACATCACATCGAGATATTGCATCACCATTTTTTTCCAATTTGTCGGTGTAATTGCAGCTCAATGTGAAGCCGTATTTTATGCAAAATCATACACGTTTGAAACAAATTATTATAGAAAGAACAACTTATTCAAAGAACATTTCAAAGATAGAACAACTTATTTTATACCACAAAAGAATGAATGTCAATAGAACCATATCTAGCTATGTTTTAATCATATTCGCGGAATGCATAATGGATTCATTGCGCGCGTGTCATACATACGTTCAAATATATTGAACTTGAACTATATCAGAGGCATTGTAAAAAAGAAACAAATCACATTTCATTGCAAAAATGGTTGGCGATTTGACATTAGATGGGTGCCAGTGGTTCAGGCTCACTTAAAATGTCATACTCATTTAAATTAAAATTCAAATGGTTGAGCACATATATTCTCACGATGTGATTTACACGACAAACACCTCATCACACCATTCATTCAATCGGGTCGACCCTGCATTAAAATCAAAGACTGAATTCAACGATAGAGTAGAACACAAGAATCGTGTGTATTTTGCCAAGCAATTACGGAGCAATGTTCCAAAAATGAGGTTGCCTAAATATGTGCCTGTATTGAGTTTGATGACTATCATTTAATAGAGGTGTTGTATGTACTTTACGCGTGTTATGCTTATTTTTTACGCATCGTGCATAGTGTGAGGTATTCGCCTTTTTGGGGGTTCTCAGAAACCGTGAACATTATGATTATATGTGACTACCTTTTGTTTATTTTCGGTAAATTTACGGCATTTTCGCCTTGTTTTTCTTATTCGATTCTCTCTTTTTTATTGTTGTTGTTGAATGAGTTTTCTATTTTCTAATGAAAACATTTCATATTTGAAAATTATTTGAATATGACGTTTTTTCTTGTACATCATCGTTGCTATGTAAAAAATATAAAAATAAAATGTAGTAAAGAGATCATTTTATATATTCTCTTTTTTTTCTAACCGTTATTTTCTAGTTTAATTCAATTTGAATACGTGCTTATATTTCCGACCGTTTTTAGTGCTTAGTGCGTAGTCCAAGCAGGAGAGATCGGTCGACGCATTTCTTCGTGCTGGAAATTTATCAGCTCGAGCTAAGAATATTTAAGAAGTGAAGAGAGAAAAAATCGTTGACGCCGGTTAGAACATTTTTTCTACGTCAACCTCGTCTTCTTCTTCTTCTTCTTTTTCGCTTGCTGCTTTTCCACATTGCCATTCTTGTGCTTTTCTTCTTTCGTCATGCTTCGTTCATTCAGAAATTCTTCGGCGTTCAAAAAATTGTTCGGATGTTTCGCGAAAAAGAAAAACTGACCCAAAAAAACGAATCATCAAAATCTATATTTTGCGTCTATTTATTTTGGCGAACGTATTTTTTTCTATTGAGACACTATGATGCTGCTGAATGTAAGTGTGTGTGCGTTATTTTATTTGTGTCTCCTTGCCGTTTATTTGTTGCCAAATTAAGCATATTTTATCTACACGAAGCGATATGAGATATTTGATTGCGCCAAACATCATGCATATTGAGTTGCGCGACTTAAACACTATGCTACACTATAAGCATATTATACGGCATACTTTCTATACACAACCAAATTGATAAAATTAATACACTGGTTTCTCTTTTTCAATTTTGCTTTTTTCTCTCTTCGGTTGCTTTTTTTTCGATGCCGCATCGACGATGCGCGATTTATTTTTTTGTTTTGTCTCTCTTCCATTCGAGCGATATTGATACACCGATGACGAAATATATGTATGAGATGCTGATGATGATGTTGTCGGTGATGTGGGGGGCCATCGGGAAGATTTACGGGTTGTTCGTTATAAATTTGGTATTTAGGCCACAATGTAAACCATGTTAGAGTGCTTTAAACATATCAATTTTAAAGAAGATTAAATGCGATATGGTATTTATACCTATGTGCCATCAAATATGAAGTACTATGCAAACAAACAACGAATACAGAAGGATACAGCCTCTAGACACATGATTGCAAAATTTAATCACATAATTTTCCAATGTTCAAAAAACTTCTCTGCCGACCGTTTTCGATACTGGTATCATTTTCATAACTGCCGATTTCATAACCGAATTCGAAGATCAGCAATCGTCTTTTATTCTTCATAATGTCTAAATAAAAAAGAAAAGAAATTAAAACATGTAATGACTCTTGATTTTATCGATAAAATGATATTCATTTATCGTCAATGGCCGTTTTGTTTTTGTTTCTTTTCGTTAAACGGAAATTTTCCGCAAGCATTTGATTACGCACACCCACCCCGCAATATTATGAAAAGCAACACAACATAAGTTTAAATGTAAATAAATGTTTGAGTGACCATTATTAGAGGAAATGTACCGCAATAAAATGACTGCAGAAAATAGTACATATTAAATAAGTAATACATATACTTATATTCGAAATATGAATGCTTGATGCTGCTTTTGGAGCGCGTTCAAGGCTCGTGCATGCGTCGATATATATAAAAACGTTGAAATGCAGAGAGAGAGAGAAAAAAAGTTTCTTAAATGGCTTCACTGCTTTTCAAATTGTCGAATGAAATTCCAAAGAAAACCGATACCAAATAACTCATATCAAATACTTTTCAATTAATTGGGATTTCGATCGATAATAGCAAGTTTGAAACCAAATTAGCAACAAAAACGAATGGAACAATACGTCTTGTCATATTAGTGCGTGGTGCGATGTGCGTGTGTCTCTTGATAAAATATCAAAATTATTTGATGTTGATTCATTTGGAAATGTGCTGATTTCCATCGAACGAGAGAGTTGTGTGTTGGTTGTTTGTTCTCGACCACAGATATTTAATTATAATACATGTAGATAAGAGTACTTCTTTAGAAATGCCAAAATGATTCATTCGTATGTCAGTCAATGCTTAATCTGCTTTGGTTTCTAACGAATTTTCATGAACTTCTATTTAATATCAAGGTACTGAATAATATGCCCACACAAACAATTTCAAACGGAATTAGGAAGGACGGTTGAAGTACTGTTGAGATTTTTATTTACTTTCTCTCTCTCGCTCTCCATCTCTGGCATCTCATACCCTCTCATCCACCCCGGATCTCGGTTGACAACAGATCCGACAAATGAACAGATGAAAATCGTTCCGGATGCCTCGTGCGTCGTCATTACCAGTTCATTTATTTATATGAAAGAGAGTTTTTTTCTTCCACGAACTTGTTTTAAATGCATCGATAACATTTCATGTGCGTTTTATTCAATGATGATTTGCTTTCCGCCACTGTCATTTTATTTACTCCATAGTCGTGTGTCATTCATGTTATTGTAACAGCTGTAACAGCATGAAATTGCTGGTGTATCTATTGCGTTTGGGATTTAATTCTTTGTATTTTGTGCTTTTCTATTAAATTATATGCGACCAGCAACCGATATGAGACACTTCCCGGAAATTATGATAAATATAGGTAGAAGCTGACTTTTACGCCAACGGTATCTTCTCTCTGAGTGTCCTCCGCTAAATCGCCTCAAACCGAGAGATAACATTTTACTTTGTGAATGAACAAGTAAATAAAAAATAGTATGAATCCAATGACAACTAAAAGTGAATGGGTCAAAGCAAAATTGGTTGGGGTTGTTTTACACCTCCACAAAATGCGTTTCCGGGTCATCACCGACCGATATGAAACAAAGCAAACCGATATATTGATCAACAAGTTAGCTAGGCGTATTCTAATAA